CACCCACAACTACGTCTCTGCGGTTCATTTCGCGGTCGCTCTAGACTACTACGGCCTCATCCGCGTGTCAGACTGGACAACTGCAGGTGGAGAGATCATGACCTTCACTACGCGACAACAACCACAGCTCAACTTTGGACGCATTGTCGGCCACTACACAAGCGACTTCCGTGCTGCACGAGCTGATGCTGCGGCCGACTACTTGGTGCTGATCTGCATGAATGCGGATCTACCAGGTGAAGCAGGCCGACAACAGGCAGAGCTCTGCCATGAAGCTCTTCGCGAACTTGTTCTTGAGACACGCGAATTCTCTACCTTGTTGGGTGACGTCAAATCCAACGGCGAGACGACACCGGGTCTTATCCAGGAACGCGTGCCGTTGCTCAAGCTAGACGGCGAGATGGGCTTGTTGAACACCATCACCAGCGAAGCCGCGAGAATGGCAGACGACAACGGACGCATCAACGACGCCATTCTACTCTGCCATCTTGCCGGCGAGTACGACAGTGTCGTAACGATCCTGAACCGCGCCCTGGCTGAGGCACTCTCTGTAGAACTCGGTCAAGAGCCTCTCCGTCTGGAGCCGTTGAAGCCGCGTCTGACAGCTGCGGAGTCACAACAGCAACAACAACAACGAACTGATCTGACTTCGTCGAGCTTGAGCATGCTGGGAACAGACGATCCTGTCGAGCTCGCGCAGAAGGTTCTTGCGTTGTATGACGCGAACAGCCTATGGTGGAGGAAGGTGTCGCAGATGAACCGCGACACAGTTGGAATACTATTTCAGCTCAACAACGCGAAGAAGATCATTGAAGCCGGCGACTTCATGGCCGCACTCGGCGTAAGTTATCACATCACTGTCTCTCACAGTCAGTCACTAACATTCCGCAGCAAATCGAAAACCTCCGCATCCTGCCCCTGTCCGCCAACGGCAATGTCAGCGACATCCGTGCCACCGCCAACAGCTTCAACTCATACCCACAAGAGATATCACGCAACATTGGCAACGTACTTCTTTGGTGCATCGGTTGCTGCTCGAGGCATCGTGAGCGTCTTCTGTCCGGACAATTCGAGGACAAGATGCGCAAGGTGCTCGCTGATCAGCTCCTACAAAAGGCGAAGGACCTAATGGTCTTTGCTGGATTGATCAAGTACAAGTTGCCACCGAGGGTGTTCGAGACGCTGGCAAGGGAGGGCCAGGAGGTTGGTGCTTTCTAGAGCTGAGGCGGTAACGATAGATGTTTGCAGGTTGGAGTCTTTGGATTTGGTAATGCAGTCATAGCATGCGCTTGGAAACGTTTGGGTTCGTGAGGAAGAGGTGATTGAGCATCTGCACAGCGATTGGGCACGTTGGGTTCGACATAGAGTGATACCAATAAATCATTGTAATTCGCGGCCAATCGCACCTTCCTGTGATCCTGATGCTGGGACGCCTTGGCCGGAAGAGGCCGCGTGGGGTGATGGCCAAGGCAAGATTGGTACAGTGATGGTACGAGACCCGTGGCGCAGGCAATGTCTTGTCATCTTGGCTACTGTTGGCATGCAACGACCACTAATTCAAGCAACGAAAAGGTCGTTCGATGCCAGGAACGTGCCGGTGGCCGGTGTTGGAGTTCGCCAGACGATCCTTCGAGGCTCGGGCTGATCGGCGGAGTGGTGTGACCCCACTTGACGGACCGGGGAGCTCTTTTCTTTTGGAGCTCCCACGTCATATGCGCGCGACGCCGCGACCCATGCTCCGACTCCCATCACCTTATCGCCAGTTTGAGTAATACCTACAACTGTTGCCTATGATACATAAACACCACGTAGAAGCCCGCTAATCACCAACTAATCGTATTACCTCTACTACTCACAACCACCCAGGACTCGGCAAAGCTACCCCTCCAACCGCCGTTGAGACCTGAATCTTCCCAACACGTAGGGACCCGCTTCTTCTCGGCGTCTTAACTTTTCCAACTAGACAGGTGAATCCACATTGACCTCATACTGACCCACGGCCAAATATCTCTTCGGACCTTCGCATCCAGCTGCGACTACCTCCAGCCTCCACTTACTACCTCAACTTCAACCTACACCTCTCACCCCGCCTAATACCCCAATCAACAACACCCAGACTCACAACATGGCGCCCACCGAGATCCCGCCGCCCCTCGATGGCAAGAAGAGGCGCATTGGAGTCATGACGAGCGGAGGTGACGCGCCCGGCATGAACGGAGCGGTACGCGCTGTCGTGCGTATGGCGATTCACAACAACTGCGAGGCCTTCGCTATATACGAGGGCTACGACGGTCTGGTCAAGGGCGGAGACATGATCAAGGAGATGCATTGGGAAGACGTCAGAGGCTTCCTTTCAGAAGGTGGTACCCTCATTGGCACAGCACGATGCATGGAGTTCATGCAGCGCGAAGGCCGCCGGACGGCCGCGAAGAACATGATCATCAAGGGTATCGACGCGCTAATTATCTGCGGTGGTGACGGATCCCTCACAGGTGCTGACAAGTTCCGCGCGGAGTGGCCGGAGCTGCTGAAGGAGCTGGTGCAAGAGAAGCAGCTCACACAGGAGCAGGTTGAGCCCTTCAAGCACCTGAACATTGTCGGTCTCGTCGGCTCCATTGACAACGACCTTTCCATGACCGACGCTACCATTGGCTGCTACACCTCGCTCGGACGTATCTGCGAAGCCATCGACTCGGTCGACACCACCGCCGTCAGCCACCAGCGTGCTTTCGTTATCGAAGTTATGGGTCGACACTGCGGTTGGCTCGCACTCAGCGCCGGTGTCGCGACAGGCGCAGACTTCGTCTTCACACCAGAGAACCCACCAAGTGAAGGCTGGCAGGAACAGATGTGCAAACAGATCAAGAAGCAGAGACAAATGGGCAAGCGGAAGACCATCGTCGTTGTCGCCGAGGGTGCCATCGATCGCAACTTGAACAAGATCACCTCAGAACAGGTCAAGGACATTCTGGCAAAGGAGGCGAAGCTCGACACACGAGTGACGACTCTCGGACACGTCCAGCGTGGAGGTACACCATGCGCTTACGACCGTATGCTTGCGACACTTCAGGGTGTTGAAGCTGTCAAGGCGGTCTTGGAGGCTACCCCCGACACACCCAGCCCGGTCATCTGTATGCAAGAGAACAAGATCGTCCGCCGGCCGCTCCTCGAGGCGGTTGCACAAACCAAGGAAGTCGCTGTAGCCATCGAGAACAAGAACTTCTCAAGGGCTATGCAGCTCCGCGACACCGAGTTCGAGCAACAATACCAGGCCTACCAAATCACCACAGCGCAAGATCAGCCAGACCTACTATTACCAGAGAACAAGCGAATGCGCGTCGGTATCATCCACGTCGGAGCCCCAGCTGGAGGCATGAACGCAGCGACCCGTGCTGCGGTTGCACACTGCATTGCCCGCGGCCACACACCAGTCGCGCTCCACAACGGTTTCCCTGGCATAATCCGCCACCACTCCGATGAGCCAGTTGGTGCGGTGCGAGATATCAAGTGGATTGACGCTGAGACCTGGGCCTCCAAGGGTGGATCTGAGATCGGAACGAACCGTGGGCTCCCTAGTGAGGACCTCGAGACTGTTGCGTTTGTCTTCAAGAAGTTCAACATCCAGTCTCTATTCGTTGTTGGTGGTTTCGAGGCTTTCACAGCTGTTTCGGAGCTGAGGAAAGCACGCGAGTACTACAAGTCTTTCAAGATTCCTATGGTGAGTGCATATCCTGATAATGTAGTTTCAGCCACTCGATAAGCAGCATGCTAACTAGACTTTAGGTCATCATCCCTGCCACCATCTCGAACAACGTCCCCGGAACAGAGTACTCCATCGGTTCAGATACCTGCCTGAACGCCCTCATCCAATACTCCGATGCCTGCCGTCAATCAGCATCGGCGTCTCGTCGCCGTGTCTTCGTTATCGAGACTCAAGGCGGTGAATCAGGTTACATCGCAACAGTCGCCGGTCTCAGTATCGGAGCTATGGGCGTATACACTCCCGAAGAAGGCATCAGCCTCAAGATGCTCGACCGCGACATTGACCACCTCCGCGAGGTCTTCAAGAAGGACAAGGGTATCAGCAGGTCTGGTAAGGTAATCCTCGTCAACGAAAAGGCATCCAAGACATACAACGTGCAAATCATCGCCCAAATGATCGCGGAAGCAGGCCAAGGCAAATTCGAATCCCGCCATGGAGTACCCGGCCACTTCCAACAAGGCACAATCCCCTCCCCCATGGACCGTGTCCGAGCCGTCAGGTTCGCCATCAAGGCCATGCAACATCTCGAAAACTACGCCGGCATGGACCCCGACGAGATCGAAGACGACTCCATGTCCATCAGCGTCATCGGCATCAAGGGCAGCAAGCTTCTCTTCTCGCCCATGGAGCAAGTGGAGAAGAGGGAGACGGAGTGGCACCGCCGCCGCCCCAAGCATGAGTTCTGGATGGCGCTTAAGGAGACGGTTGATACGCTGAGTGGCAGGCCTCAGGCGCCTGTTAACCCGGACGATATCGCTACGTTGGCTGGACGGCCGAGGGCTACGAGCAAGGCTTATGGGTATTAAGGTGTGGGGGCGCGGGTTTTAGGGATTGTGACGACGGAGTTATGATTATGAAGTATTTGTAGATAGATGGATATGGCTTTCCTATGATAATGACTATGGAATGACAAACGATTAACACTCATCACCAGTACCATGGAACGGTTCGCTTAAACAATGGTTTGCCGGGGTTCGTAGGGATGGTCGAATCCATACCTAGGTACTCAACCATGGTAGCCAAGTATGACTCTACTGTGAAGACAGTACTAGGGAACATCTTTTTCTTCCAAGGCTTCTGCATTCACGATGCAAGACCACGGACATTTACCAAATCGCGGCTGAGCTGAACTTCCACTCGCACACTTGAACCGGGATTGACGCCGAACTATTTCAGCACACCACCCCCTAACTACTCTAGCTGCGGTAAGCTCCCAACTGCAGCAGTATGAGTTACGATGAGCGAATTCCAGTACGGGCTCAAGGATAAGTTCCTCACCAAGGAGGAACTCTACGAATTTCGTTTCCCCACAACTGTACTGGCCTGGACGAATCCTCTGAAGAAGAAGGCCACGGTCAGTACGAATACTACCGATTCCGGGCATTCAAACAACAAGCTATACCCGTTCGCAGAGAAGCTTACCAACTTGTTGGTCCGTGATGTGGAAGTTGTCGCCGTGACAGCATCGACCGCAGGAGAGATTCTGTTCCAAACAGTGTGCGATGACAGCGGCGTATTGCTCACAGAAGATGATACTGCCTCTGAAGCGGAAGAAGAGAGCGAGCCAGGTCCTGCAGCGGCTGTTGGGTATGTGCAGAGCCTTTGCAATGAACAGCGAAGCAAGACGTTGGACGAGCAAGAGCATCACCCTGCCCTACAAGTCCATATTCCATTGACTACTGCCGATGATATGGGAGACTCAATCGGCTGCTGGTTGCTTTCCAAGACAGAGAGACATCTGGAAGGAGTGACGCATCCCCGGACAACTGTCAGTTTCTCTCAGCATGCAGCCAATCTCGTGCACTTGATCAAGGCAACCTACGAACAAACATCAAAGGGTACAGCTGCATTGGCCAGAGACCAGTTACTTAACTACGTGCTCTTGACCTCGACCGCCAAGATAGCTTCTCGCATCCAGAAAGGCAGCAAAGACCGCAACTTTTACGACTATCTAAGCAAGCCTGGCGGTGACCTTGATGACTTTATGCTGCAGGAAGGTTACCACTTCAGGTCATTGCTTCTGGGTACCGCCCGCGATGTTCTCTACTCAAACTTTACCGAAATCCAGCGGAAAGTGATCGTTTCAACGATCAAGTTTCTGGAACGTCGGTCATCAGCCAATGCAGACAAACTGCCCTGCCGTACTCAAGAGGCACTGGAAAATACCCGAAAGATCATCAAACCACTCACCCAATTCAAGGACCTTCTGAACACCGGCGAATCGACTGTTTACAACCAACATACTGCTAGTCTTTTGCAGGATATTCTTAGTGCTGTGCTCGACAACCTAGTTGCCTGCTTCGAGTGGCTCGCAGCTGCAGTGCGAAGATCACAATTTTTCAAGAGCAGCAATTACGACGCACTTCCAGGAAGTCCCGCAAGCGACGAAATTGCACTCGCAGGTCACTATTTCGATCATCTTTTGAAACAAGCAGGTCTCTGGCTTGATGTTTTGACACAGTTCAAGAAGACGTTCTGCAAGTACTTGTATACAAACCTAGGGCTTTTGAGAAAGGTTCACATGATAAAGAATGCAATGAAGACCGGCGACATTGCTCAAGATACCGAAGGCCTCCCTGGATTCTCGACCCCACTTGAAAAGCAACAAACGATCGACCCCGAGTTCGAGCAGCTCGACTCTCTTGCCGAGAGACAGCAGTGGGAGCACGCAGCAATGGCATGGCTGGATCTGATATGTCTACACTGGACAGCGATCCTGGATCTCCGGAGTGAAGGCCGCCAGGCACCCCGCAACAAAGTTCTCAGAACCTACTTGCAGCAAGCGAAGTTCCAACACTTTGAAACTCGTCAAGAGCACCAGGACAGGAGATTGATCATAAAGGGTTATCTGGACAACTTCACATTGCTATCTGGAGAGAAGCTCACAACGGACGAATGCCAAAAGATCAGAACATGGCTGCTAAGAAATGGCGATGGCTACTCCGCGAAATTTGAAAACGAAGAAGCAGAAGCTACAAACTTCACCGGTACCTACCACTGCGAAACAGTCCTACTGAGTCTTGCTTTACTAGCCAAGAAGCGGGCTGATATCCTAGACGTCGATATCAATTCCGCGTCTGCACCACTAAGCAAGGCTCACCTGCAGCTCCCTGGTAAAACAACTACGGATGCACTAAAGGGTAAGATGAACGCCCTACCAGTATCGCAGAAGTGCTGTCCTGCTTGTCATGCGCTAGTCGAATACTTCATTGAGAATGTAAATCCAGCTCTGGTATACCCGGGTAAGCATGAGGTATGGTCAGCGGCAGCACTTCCACCGTGGATTCCAAGGGAAGCGGGTCAGGTAGTTCTGCGAGCTGCCCGGAAGGCACTGCGATTTCGGTTTGACAGCATACTGCGAGGCTGAGCTTGACTCTTGTATAAAGCGCGATGGGCGTGTTGTATCGTAGAGGTAGTATCGATTAGCAAGAATTAATATGATTGTAATAGCTTGGGTCTTGTCTGCTAGAGTGTTGGTTGTGTTGTCACAATAGTGTAGGTGTCGCGGTACTGGAAGCTATCGCAGTACTGGAGTTGTCGCAGTAGTGTAGCTGTCGCAGTATTGTAAGCTGTCGCACTTTTGCAGCTGTCAAAGTAATGTAGTTGTCGCAGTGTTGTGGTTGCTGGCAGGGCTAATAATTTAGAAAGATGCCGTTTAATTGGACTCGCGGACGAGTCGGACGGATTCTGCAGAATCTTAAAATGCTGTACCTCGACTTGACGTGAACGAGTTTAACGCACCTCTAAGTGAATATCGTTGACTTCCATGCTGCGAATGTTACGACAACGAATTTCTGACACGGCAGACGGGCAGTGTCTGGCAAGAAGCTGACTAATATGACGTACCCCTCCAACACGAGCATAACCTTTCCGATCCGTCCCGACATATGAACTTAACCCACCCAAACAACAGTCAAGATGAGTGAATTCAAAGAGATGGTCGTTATTCTTACCGGAGCTTCTCGAGGTATGTATCTATTCACTAAATTTTCCATCACCTCGCTTTCTGTTCTAGTTAAATATGCATTACAGTTCCGTGGTCTGCAAACCTCCTAGACGTATAAAAAAAGCTACACGTGCAAGCGTAGTCGACACCAACGCAGACTCTCATACCGCCAATTCCCTTGCTAATCCACTCTCGTAGGCATCGGCCAAGCCATCGCGCACCACCTCCTCTCGCGAAACCACAAGGTCGTCCTCGTCTCGCGTACTGAATCGGCTCTGTCTGCCCTTCGATCCCAATATGGAAACGAGAAAGTAGCTGTACTCGCTGGTGATATGGCGGATGCTTCGCTCCCACAGAAAGCGGTTGATATGGCGAACGAGCGGTGGGGACGCATTGATTCGCTGATTGTGAATCACGGGACGCTGGATCCGGTGAAGAAGGTGGGAGATAGTAGTGCGGAGGAGTGGAGGAGGGGGTTTGATGTTAATGTTTTTAGTGCGGTTGGCATGGTAAGTCGGAGTCTCGTTCTGTTCTATTCATCTCTCCTTCTATCGACGATACTTACTCAGACCTTCAACATCAACATTACTTATCCTGGCCTTATGCAACGAACTAACTCCCTGCTCTATCTAGGTACAAGCCGCCCTGCCCTCCCTTCGCAAGACTTCGGGCACCATCCTCCTAACCTCCTCCGGCGCCGCAACATCCGCCTACCAAGGATGGGGCTGCTACGGCGCGGGAAAAGCTGTGCTGAACCACCTCGCCCTCACTCTCTCTGTAGAAGAGCCCTCCATCACTACTATCTCTATCCGCCCCGGTGTTGTAGACACGGAGATGCAGCGTGAAATCCGCGAAGTGCACCACGAGCGTATGAGCGAGAAGGACCGGACTAAGTTCAGTGGGTTGAAGAAGGAGGGGGGACTGTTGAAGCCGGAACAACCCGGGTATGTTATGGCGAGATTGGCTGTGGCGAAGGGGGAGGATGTAAAGGGCTTTAATGGACAGTTTTTGAGCTGGAATGATGAGAGTTTGGGGGCTTTTCAGCAGGATTAGTTGGGGGCTTGTCATCAGTTACATAGTCGTTACATTTAATTCGCCTCATATTCTAAAACTAAACTCATCTTCAACCAGCTCATCCGAATAAAACGCATCTTCATCCAACTCATCTTCATCCGAATCATCTGATGTCCACTCATCTTCCTCTTCCTCTTCGTCCTCATAACGATACTGCCTAGCCCAAGCCGGGCAAACTCGGTAGGTTGCTCCCTCGAAAAACTCCAACATCTTTCCTTTCCACTCCAACTCTGGAGTCCACACCTTGACAATCTCTTCAAGATCATAATCGCACCGGATCGGCGGTCGATACCAGTCTGAATCGGTGTGACTGAATGATACACGAACATCTGCTCCTTCAGTCCGGAAAGCATGGTAGAAAGGGACAAGAACGGGGAAGAGCTGTTCCCACTGCTTGAGGCGGATTTGGAACTGCATGAACGTGATACGGAGTTTGAAATCTCTCTTGCGGGATATAGCGTCAAAAATGTAGGTGAATTGCTTACTCAATCCATCTGGGTCGATAGTCGCTGGTTTATGCCTAATTGGGTGCTCTTGTGTAAGGTGTAGATCCAGGGCTCGAAGATGGTCTGCTGGTCGTAAACCGAGTTTAGATACATCGTCGTTGAGCAGCGCGTCCAGCGTGTCCAGCTGCAAGCTTTCCGTACATCTAATCACGAAAGCGTTCTTGCTGTGGGCGGAGGCGGGGTAGTACGCTGCCAGGGCTTCTACGGCCGTAACCGGGTCAACGTATGCGGGATTGATGACATGGGGTGGCTTGTCACGACGCCATGTTAGATGGGGGTTTGTCCAGATAAAATAACTCTTCTCTGCATCGGGAACCATGTAACCTGTCGCTAGATCGAGGTACTCGTCGTCCCAGACGTGGGCGTATATTAATTCACGCAGTTCGCGTGGCAAGTGGGCTTGCATCTTTGTAGCGAGTTATAGACATGATACCTGCGCATAGGACTGAGCGGCTTGGTCGAATGGACTGCAGCCGCCCGATTAGTACGTTAATAAGAATTAGATAGATTGTTGAGATCGCATACCCTCCTGTGATTAAATCATGGGTGCGCATTGCTTTCTTTTTATACAGACCTATTATCTTTTTGGCGTATGACAAGACTGCATCCCTGTCGAAGCGTCAGGCTTCAAGTTTCCATCATTTGAGCAAACAGACAACTCACTGTCCAGGAACGAACGGACAAATCCCTTTATTCTTGCCCTTCCTCCCCTCTTCTCTCATCATCAGAGCTCTGTACTTCTTCATGTCGTCTCCCGTCATCTCGTCGATTTTCAGATCGCAGAGCGCCTGGAGATAGCCTTCTATCATCTCGTAACGCATGACTTGCTCGGATAAACGCCTCTCTGCGGCGGCAAGTTCTATCTGAAGGTCGGCCTCGCGTCGCTGAAGGAAACCTTGTCGATGTGTAGTCATGACGTCGGCTACGTGGTTGTAACTTTTCCTCGTGCAAAACACCGAAGTTTGAGTTGTGACACCTGAGAAGCTGAAACGCTAGTCTTAAAAGGGCGAGGTTCCGCTGCTAGTACACCAAAGAACTCGGGAGCGTATTTCCAAAGGTAATTACACAAACGCCCAATCCCAGAGGTGCAGCATCGCCCGGGGTGGTTGTTTTGATAACGGGACCTCGCAAAAGATGCTCTTTTGACCGCGGCATCGGGGCATATGCGGTGGCATCAGCCGCATGATAGTCAGCACTAGCTCGCTGGCTAGTTCCAAGGTTATACCGAGGCGCATTATCTTGCAGACGTAATCAATCTGAACCATGTACTCTGCAGATAGGGAAAGATCATGGGCGTTGAATGAGAACAGAGAAAGATGCATCAAAATTAACTACGTAAAATGGTTCCTCATAGCTTCGACTTGGACACGATCATGGAGTTGCCAATGTTCAACCACTTGACGGCATCTGTGACAAGCTCATCAACAATCTCCCTCGCGTTCTTCCTCTCGTTAACAACAGCAGCGACCTTACCCATCAGGAACGGCCGCGCGTTGTCCATAGTCTCGTCGTCGAGGTCGTCGCCCATCTTCTCGAGATCATGCTCGACAGGCAATATGCCCTTGGCAGTAAGATCCTTGATCTCTTGTTGCCTGTTCTCCTCCCAGTTCTGGACGTATGGGTTGGTGCGGATGCGGAGTGGGCGTCCGGTGAAGATGATGGTGCGGATGTTGTCGTCCCAGCCAGCTGTGCGGACGGCTTCTTGGTGGGCCTTGGGTGCACCGGCTTCCTCGGAGAGAACGAAGCGTGTTCCGACCCAGACACCGGTGGCACCGAATGTGAGCATCGCAGCGAGCGACTGGCCGTTGTAGATACCGCCGGCAGCTACAATTTGTACCTGCTCGCCGGTCAAAGGCGACTTGTGGCCCTCGACCATCTTGACCGCTGCTGGGATGAAGATGGATGTGGGAACGTCTCCGGTGTGTCCTCCGCCCTCGCCTCCTTGTGCGCAGATGATGTCGACGCCGATGTCGAGGCACTTCTTGATGTGCTTGGGGTGGCCGATCATGTTCATGTAGAGGATTCCGTGCTTGTGTAGCTTCTCTACGACGGCCTTGGGTGGGACACCGACGGCGGAGACGAATAGTTTGGCGCCGGAGTCAATGATGATGTCGACGAGCTCGTTCAGCTTGCCCTTGGTGTAGTCGTAGCTATATGCCGTTAGTCGCGTGCCTTCTGGCATGTGATGGATCGCCCAGTACGTACTTGGTCTTGCGCGCGCTGCCTCCAACCTGGGGAAGGAGCAGGTCGATGCCGAATGGCGCGTTCTTGTCGTTCAGGTATCCCTTCAACTCGGCGATCTGCTCGCGGAGCATGTCGGGTGTGTATCCGACACCTCCGATGACACCGAGACCTCCAGCGTTGGTGACGGCGGCGGCGAGCTTAGGTCCAGCAGCCACGTTCATGCCCGCAAGCATGACGGGGTGCTGGATCTTCAGCAGGTCGGTAAGCTTGGTGCGGATTTGCTCTGAGGTTTGTCAGCTGGGCACATGTGAATGAGGCGTGGATGCGTACGTGGAGAAGCCATGACGACGGTATGGAGGTTTGCGGTTGAGAAAGGGAAGATGCGAGGTATTTCAACAGCAAGGAAGGAAGACGAGTGGATCGAGGATTCGGGCGAATTCTTAAGGTTTGAGGAGTCGGGCCCTTTCTTATGGTTGAGGAGTCCTGGTCGACTCTCTGTAAGCCGTGAGCCGAGGCACGACGCATGTCTCACGCGGAGAGCGCTAACCACTTACCGTCTAGTGCCATCCGGGGAAGGCTGTCGGCATCGCGCGCCTGCCTCTGTCTGTCCCACCGCGTCACATGCTAACATGTTCACTAATGCATCCAAATGTTTAGCCACGCTCAGGGCCGCCTCCTCACGGTATCCACGCCATGCCGCGCTCACAATTAGTACCATCAACAGCAAGGTCTCTAATCGATCGAATTTTCACTCGTCACCCACTCAACGCCAGGAATGTGATACACCCTCCGACTCTCGCGTTCCGCGCGAGCCTCCATCGCAAGATGTGCGGAAAGTTTTTACTGGTAAGCCTGGCTACCGTAAGAAGGAACTTGCCGTCGTTGCTTTGGGGAGCAACATGGGCGACAGAGTGGCCATGATTGAACGTGCATGCAGAGAGATGGAGTCAAGTGGAAAAATAAAGATCGTACGAACCAGTAGTTTGTGGGAGAGCAAAGCCATGTACGTACTCGATCAGGACAACTTCGTCAATGGTGCCTGTCAGGTATGCTAAATAATGTCCCTTCTTTCAAACGTCAAATTTACGCAAACAGATAGAAACTAGTCTGTCACCAATCGAACTCTTAGACGCGCTTCAGAAAGTTGAGAATGACATGGGCCGCGTCAAAGTCATCGACAAAGGACCCAGAAATATTGATTTGGACATTTTACTTCATGGAAACGAGAAAAGTTCCAGCGAAAGACTTACGATCCCGCATGCGTTGATGTTCGAGAGGCAGTTCGTTCTACGCCCTCTTGTTGAGTAAGATAACCATCTATCTGGCCAGTGAAACGGTGCTGATCCTCTCTAGACTTTTGCGCAATCAGCGTGAAGATTACCCATTCTCGAATCAAATTAAACGCCATTTCAAAAGACTCCTTAAATCAGAGGTGCCGCTGGTGCCGCTGACGCCACTTGGACCAGATCTATCCCCAATATCGTCTTCTCGGATAGCGGATAACACAAGGATCATGTCTATCCTAAATGTCACACCAGACTCATTCTCAGATGGCGGCCAAAATTACAATATCGATGAAGCAACCCTAGCGAACACCATTCGCGAACACATCTCGGCCGGAGCCACCATCATCGACGTAGGCGGACAGTCAACACGACCCGGTGCTGTCCAGGTCTCCGCCGACGAAGAGCTAGCACGTGTCATCCCAGCTGTAAAGCTGATCCGCTCAATGCCAGAGGCAAACAACATCGCAATCAGCGTTGACACATACCGCGGCAGCGTCGCCGAAGCCGCCATTAACGCCGGCGCAAACATGATCAACGACGTCAGTGCAGGTGCCATGGACGACACGATGCTTTCCACCATGGGAAAACTTGGCTGTACAGTCTGTCTCATGCACATGCGCGGCACGCCGGAAACCATGACCAGCCCTGAAATGACATCCTACCCCAACGGCATCATAGAGACAGTAGGCCGCGAACTCGTCGAGCGCGTTATTGCTGCGGAACATGCGGGTGTCAGGCGCTGGCGTATCGTTCTCGATCCTGGTATTGGCTTTGCGAAGACAAAGGAACATAATCTTGAACTACTTCGCCGACAGGATGAGTTGATGAGGTATCCGGGTCTAGAAGGCATTCCTTGGCTTGTGGGCACGAGTCGGAAGAAGTTTATCGGCGATATTACTGGGGTCAAGCAAGCGAAAGATAGGGTCTGGGGGACTGCTGTTGGGGTGGCAGCGGCTATCAAGGGTGGTGCGCAGATTTTGAGGGTCCATGATGTTAAGGAGATGGCGCAGGTTGCGAAGATGGCGGATGCGTTGTGGCGCCCGTGAACATGACGCGGCGCGACAGTCTTCCAACGATCTTCGCTCTCGCCCTCATTTAGTGGGAGGTTTCAGGCGTCATCCGTGTTGTTGGTTCCACTCCACGCGGTAGCGCTCCGGTTGGTTCCGAGTCCTTCATGAACGTGGTTGTCGACTCGCTTCCACAAAGCCTGAACCAAACGAAGAATACGTGGAAGGAAAACCTGTAACCTCGAACAACATCCTACTTCTTTTTACCCTCAACATCAAACATGGCGAATCTTCGTGAGCTCCATCAAGAACTACGACGCGTACAGGACCGAGTCTTTCAGTAGGTGGTTGTCGTACTAAGTCGCTGCCCGTTTTGACTAATTCGCACAGGATCAAACGTCGTCAGAACGAGTAAGCACGTTCACACTAGATGCTGTCAAAGACTTCGAAGAAGCTAATGGTAGACTCAAGTGAACTATGGATGGCAAGTAGCTACTCTTGGAGTCACGATGATTGGAACGAGTGGAAAGCGTGAGTTTTTACGATTCCGAGAAGATGCAGCTCCACGGTGAGCAATAGCTTACAGACACAGTCTGAACGAAGAACTGGAAGCATCGTACGAGTCACACTCAAAAGCCTGGAACAAACTTTACTATGCTAGAATGCACGACCGGCTACCGCGCGAGATCCGAGATATGATCAATGCCGAATTCTGGGATGAAGACTACTTGACAGGCGGAGGACGCGGCGGAGAAGGCTATGAGGTAGCCATGAAGGCTAACGAGGAACCCACACTTGGCCATATATCGTTACCTCATCGTCTCCTGCGCATCTCACACGTCGTCCTACCAGGGTACGTAGGAGATGCAGCTGCAAAAGAGAACGTCCAGATGTGGTACGAGGCCTACGGAGCCATGACCTGCTACCGCGACTGGCTCGCACTCGGCAGGCGCAATATAGGTGAAGAGCTCACGAGAGCTATATGCAAAGACACATTCGGGGTGGGCTTGGATCCTGCCACTGCTCTCCGAAAATTGACCATCGAAGTCTCCGACACCTCTCTCGTGCTAGGCCACGAGCACTCAGACTTCAAAGATGCTACCTCACGTCAAGACGCATTCAACCTGCTTCATCGCATCAAGAAGAAGAGGGGGTTCAAGCTCGAGATCAATGTTCGCCACGATTGCATCCGTCTCAAGATGTGGCCCGAAATCCTTGGCCTCCTGCAACCCATCGTTAAGGTATTTGAGCAGGAAGGAGCCCACGTTAGTGTTTTGTCTAGTTATGATCCTCACCGCACGAATTGCATTGATGAGGGCCCGGGTGTTGGCACCGATATGGAACACCTGATCAGGACATACGATCCGGCGACTTGGGAGCAGAGTGTGAAGCAGGAAATGATCGATTATTTCGAGGGGGTAAGACGCTCGCAACTCATCTATGTGGCAATGCCTGACAAGTGATTTAGATCGATGATGAGTATCTCAGACCGTACCACCGCTACTATCGGAGCGAAGAAGACAATCCTGGCTCTGATCCTGATGTTGCTGCCTGGAAACGTTATGTTGGGCCCTCTGGTGTGCGCGGAACGGGAGGATGACTAAGCTCGTTTGAGGGGAAAGATGGTAGCTGTCACTACGCGGATGCATGCCAATCTAAGATTCTAGAACCACGAACAAAAATGAAAAGATTCGTACACGAGGCGTTCAATAACCGTGAGGCCACCCGTGAAGTACGTGTAAGTGGGGCAAACCGCGAATCTAGCGCGACTTCGCCTTACGAACATGATGATAATCTACACTTCAAGACCTCCGAAGAAGAGTAAACGCTTTTGACTCGGACTGCCATCTTATCTTCTTTCGCGCGATACCACCGCCATGAAAAGTTCACACGACTTGGAACAAGATGTGCGCAACAGGTGTAATGGACTATTCATGTTCGTATCTCCATCCTCATACACTGCTGCCTGGACTTCAGAGAAACTGACCTGCCTAACTAGCCTGAAACGCGCAAAAGCTGCTGCGGAGGAGAGGTAAATGGCAAACTACAGAATCTCATAGCCATGCAAGCTAATGTAGCATCTAAAGGGAGCGTACAGCAGCAAAACAAGAGTGGCTATCAGCAGCGGAGAAGAAGACGGAAGTGCAGGCGTAAGTGACCGCCAGCTCTACCCAACTTTTTTCCATCGCTGACGTTGCTTGTACACAGCGAGCTCGATGCATCCTGTGAGCAGTTATCAAGAGCCTGGAACAGGTTGTGTTCTACTAGGATGCAAGGGCTACTGCCTATCGAGCTTCGCGAGATAATATATGCACAGATATGGAATGTGGAGTATCTCAACGCCACAAGACAGCCAAGTCAGCAGTCCGGTCCTCCTGGCCACTCCGATTCGAGGTGCCAGACACATGTTGTTCGGCCAGACTTTGTGGGCAAAGAGATGGCCCTGGAAATGGCGCGGGCATGGTACGAAGCAGCATCCACACTTACACCAGACACGTTCACAATCTCCGATACCCGGGAGTTGATCAAACAAACCATATGTGAAGACCGTTTCCGAGTTGGCCTAGACCCAGCCACAGTCCTCAGGACTCTCACCATCGATTTCGACGAAACCACGTCTAGGCTCGCTAGTCCGTATTGCAAGTGGCCAGACGCAGATACACGGCGGAAGACTTTCGATCTTCTCCACCGAATCAAGAAAAAGACTGGTTTTCGACTCAACTTCCGTATATGCACCCCCAAATTCCGATTGAACTGTTGGCCCGACTTCTTCGATCTCATGCAACCCATGGTCAAGACCTTCGACAGCGAGGGAGTCATCGTCGATGTTCAGGCTATACATTGTAGCCGGGGCCCGCACCCTACACCATATGTATTTGTGGACCTGAACAGTCTTGTCAGAGGCCATGATCCAGCGACGTGGAAGCAGGGCGTGATCAAGTATCTGGACTCGGTAATACTAGCCCTCTCGTTATCATCATGCGTGTATGGCGCTGACAAGCAAAGTAGATCTGTGACTGTCGCATTAGGAATCAGGACAGACATTATCGAGGGGAGGACGAGCCGGATTACAATCCAGACGATGGGCAGGAGGATTATTGGAACTGGGATTTGCTCGAAGACACAGGCTTACGACCTTCTGATTTTGATAGAGGGTTGTCGAGACAGAATTGTGGTTGCGATGGCTCCGGGAGACGCAGGTCGTTTAAGTCTGGCTTGTAAAGGGTACGCGATGTTGGAGCTGTCATAAAAGTTGTAGGCTGCAGGGAAGTCCTAGAAAGGAAGGCGGGGACGGAAACGTTAATGGATGGATGCGGAGTCTTCTTCGGTAGTTGCAGCTCGCTGCGCTCTCGCGTTAGCGCGAAAGTTAGGAATAAGCTAATAGAGGGTAGACCTAACTGCGCTACAATAAAGTAGCTAAATTAAAATTTAGAAAGGTAGATTTCTTTGCAGATATATAGAGTATACTTCTATTTTTTTTTAAAAAAAAAATCATTTACTAAGTTATAGCGTGATGCAACATTATTGTTAGAAATCTCGCATCTAACTTTCGCGCTGACGCGAGACGCTGCGCTTCAGGGTTGTTGCTGAGACAAGGGATCGGAATATTCCGAGGTTGCGGCTGTGCCGCATGCCCGCAGTTGACAAACATACAATAATCCCAACCCTTAACTTCTTGACCTCCCCCCAAGGGCCATACGTCTCACATCCCCCACGCTTCCCACAGTGTGAGCCTGTCGCCATATACAACCGCAACTATGGATACAAACCTGGAATCAGCGCTGGACTGTCTGCGCGAGTGAGTATAGACGAACTATTCCGCCCCACTTCGCTCTTGTGCTAACAAGCTGGCAGCATCAAGCGGAAGGACCTCCATGCTCAAAAAGAGTACGTCGTATCCAGAACTTTTCCAATCTTCAGGAGCTGTACTGAACAGTCACCAGACTTGACTCAGTTCAAAAGGAAATCGCAGCTGCCAGAGAAAGGCTTAGGGAACTGAAGCAGCAACGCAAAGATATCGCAACAGAGAAGACTCATGCGCTTATCCAGTGAGTGCATGGCATCTGGAAATCTGACATTAATTCCAGTCTAACCAGTCAGGTCTTTTCCGTCAGCCCTTCGACGCTACTCTGCAGGCTGGAGCCTTCCATTCTTCGACCTGCTTCAACAACGCCTACCTCGTGAGCTTCGAGATATGGTTTATGCGCACATCTGGGACAAGAAAACTTTGGTCGATACAAGCGTTACTATGACATCCATCATGAGAGATGGTTGCAGTGCTGAGCCGGAAGAATGCCAGGACGCCATGATTTGCGACTCGAAAGCGATTAAAGGCTGCACGCATGGCCAAGTACCATATTTCGTAAAACCAGCTTTCACCGGACAAGAATCTGCACGGGAAATGATCGAGGCTTGGTATAGTCGCATACATGGTGCCAATCCCAATATCGCGATGGGAGTACCTCTGGATCATGTTCCGTCCATTCTTCAGCATGATAGATTCCATGTTGGCCTGAAGCCTGCAGCAGTTCTGCGGAAGTTGGCTGTTATTATTCGCGCTGATGAACTGATTGCAGATCTTGAGCATGACTCGGAGAAGGAGAAGCTTTATGGGATGTTTTTCACTAAAGCGCGAGCGCCTATCCACCGTGCCACCTCATATTCCTAGCGACAAGAGTTCAACCACCAATGTTCAACCGCATTGATCGCGCCATCCAAAGGCAGTCATGGAGAAAGCAACTACTGTCGATGCGAAGGAATTGGAGCAGCTTGCATTGCAGCGGCTTCGCGCGTAAGTCTTTCGGCGCTGTCAACAACACCTCATGGATCAGTTCTAATCTAGTTGCAGGATCAAAGGCATGGAATTCGACGCGAAAGATGAGTACGCACAGCTCCTAGAGTCGCAACGACGGACCCTGTGTTAAACCGTTCTAGAATCCGTAAAGCCGACCAGGACATCCAAACGGTGAGGGAGCAGATGAGGGAGCAGATCAAAGCTTTGGAAAGGAAAAAGGAAAGAACGCGACAGCACAAGAGAGATGTCCGGCGCGAGTAAGTCCTGATATCCATGAATGCGAACAAAGACCTCATACAAGAGCCCAACACAGACACCTTCCCTCAGCTCTCTCCGCGTACACCGCATCATGGAGTAAACCCTTCTTCGAGCAAATGCAGCAACGTCTGCCTCGTGAAATTCGCGACATTGTATACACATACATCTGGACCGACACGACATTGAAAGAGGCTGCTTTGCAAGATTTTGCAAAGCGCGGATGCTTCCGTCGCGCCAAAGATTGCGACATGTTAGTAACAACGCATCACTCGGCAAAGACGAACAGCTGCTATCAGCATGGCCGAGTTCCGTACTTCATGAGGCCTGGATTCGTCGAAGATAAATCAGCCCGAGAGATCGTCGAATCGTGGTACAGATCGATATCAAGAGTACAACCCGACGTATGGGTACTACTGACCATACGCGAACTCGAATGCATCATCCTTGGTGACGCCTTCTCTGTCGGTCTGGATGTCACGACCGTTGTTCGCGAGCTGACGCTCAAGCTGTTGACTGACAGAGTCCTGGAGAACAAAGATGACGAAACCAGCGAATCGAAACGAACGATCAACGCGCTGCTCCAAATAAAGAACAAGGCAAATTTCAAATTAACACTGCGATTAAAACAGTTATTCCTCCAATTCAACTGCTGGCCTACTATCTTCGACATCCTCCGACCCATGATCGAAACGTTTGAGAAAGAAGGCGCGCATGTAAAACTCCTTCTCGTCTACGCCCAAAAACTGAAACCGAAGATGGAGTTTAATATGCTTCCCGCATTGAAGGATCCCAAATACGATTGGAGAGGAGAAGCTGCCCATTACTTCGACAGCGTAAGCACACCAACTCTGCAGCGCTCGCTGCCTCACACGTAGTAACCCACAAGATAGGACTACCGCGTACGCGATCACCACAAACACTACCGCATCGAAAACGACGCAGACTATGAGCCGGAGAGACTAAAGGACATGTATCACAGCGACGATGCCTGGCATTCAGAGGATGAACTAGATCGTGTAGACTGGGATTACTGGAACGACAGCTGGGATGGAATAAACGATGATGGCTCAACGTGGTTATATGTCAAGGAGAAACCTCGTTCGCCTTCTCCATCGCCGGAACGGTATCTTGGAACTGTGTTTAGACCGGAACAGATCGAAGGTTGGTCTGAGCTGGAAAGCGAAGGCGAGGAGGGTGATAGCGAAGGTGAGGAGGATGATAGCGAAAGTGAGGAGGATGAATATTTTTACTAGGAGGTGGGAGCTCGTCCATCTGTCAAAACGAATAGCATTGTTTGTAAAGCTGTGATGTCTCTGCCAGAGCTTCGTCCACTACAGGTATATCCCTCTTGGAAGACATTAGGACATGGCCATTACCTTGCCCGATTGTGATCAGATACAACATCGTAAGAGTATCAACGCATGTCAGCTAGCGAAGTAGCGCAGAGATTCCCGACGTCATGTCGTTGGAACGCTGGCTCTTCCGACGCCACTAGAGCGCCTTCCCACCTCATGTATCCAGCCACCGTGCGTCAACTTCCACATTGCACTCACCCCGATCAGGCTGTCTAAGTCCAGCCACGGAGACGGCAATGACCGATGATCCAAAGCCACTGGAGGAGCTCAGCCCACGGACGCGCATCCGACGTGAAGACGAAAGATTGCGTAAAAAGTAAGTTGTACAAGCTCAGTAGATCATAACGTTAATCTGATATGGCGTCTGCCAAATAGGTACCGTCCCTTGGTGAAAGCGATATGCCGTGTCTGCGCAACATGGAACCTTGCTTTTTGCGAACAAATGCAAGCGCGCCTCCCCTTGGAACTGCGCAACATGGTGTACAAGCATGTGTGGGACGCGCCTACACTTCAATCAACACAAGGTTCAATGGCCTACCTCGTCCACCGCCGGTGTAGAGGCGCACGTAAAGGCAAGGAAGAAGAATGCCAAGAGGTGGCCTCGACGTACGAGCCAGGCACAAGATACACCTGCTACATGCATCCCTGCTTCATGCATACCTGGACCCCTTTCTTCGTCAGGCCGGGATACGTGGGCCAGGAAACAGCTCGAGAGGCCGTGGAGGCGTGGTACAAAATCATCGGTACATGGTGGCCTAAGATGTGGAACATAGGGGACCTTATTGAGCTTCAGCACATTATACGCAGGGATGTGTTTTTCGTTGGCCTGGATCCGTCAAAGCTCCTTCGCAGTCTGACGCTTGACCTCCATACTGAGAGTCTCTTCACGAGTCGTGACGGCGAGTCGACTCAGGGTTGCATCGACTCGCTCCCCAGCATCAAGCGCAAAACCGACTTCAAATTGATCATCCATTTGAGGCAGAGGAACATCAGCTTCAACTCATGGTCTACCGCTTTCGATGCGCTCCGGCATGTGGTCACTGTGTTTGAGGGCGAGGGCGCACACGTTGAAGCTACTTTTACCTACGACAAGGAAAGTCTCTGTCTGAAGATTACCTGGGATTTGCTTCCTGCGCTGAAGAGTGGCAATGACGACTGGCGCGCAGAAGCGGAACGTTATCTGAACTCCGTGAGTACTCCTCAGCACTGTCATCATCTTCACACACACACACTAACACGGCTCTTCAATCCAAACAGGATAGCCGGCTTCGCTCAAGACACAAGGTCTACCATCAAGCTAGCAACATAGCGGACGTAGAACATTCCGACGAGTCGGAGTACGATGCTCATGATGATGTCGAGCCCGAGAAAGACAATCTACGCGATAACAGCGACTTCAACATGTACAGTTTCATCAACGCTCTTCCGCATTTGGGTCGGGGAGACCCTTTTTACGGGACCTATCTTGAACCGAGTGACTTCAAGCCTCCTCCTCCTCCCAAAATACGCCGGCCGGCGTGGGAAGAACATCTACTGTGGAACGAATAAGGTCCTTGTGCGGAACAAAAGCGGTGGTCATGGTTGAGGCTTTTAAGTCGGACGCATATGTTGGAAGATGATCTTATAACATAAACACTACATATATACAACAAGGCATCAACACCCATCAATACCTATAAACCTCCCCCTCTTACACTCCTCCACATCTACAACTTACTCCCACCTCCCATAAGTTCCGCACCAGCCCCACTAATAGCCAGCTTACCCGTCTCCTTAACCTTAGTCTGGAACAGCACGGTATTACCAACCTTCCACATCTCGGTAATCAGTGTCTGACCAGGCAGCACAACACCCGCAAACCTAACCTTGATGTTCTTAAACGGACCATACGTCTGCAGAACATGTTTACCGGAGATACCAAAGCTGCACAGGCCGTGCAGAATGGGTGTGGGGAAGCCGCCAGCTTTGCTGAATTGGGGGTCGATGTGTAGGGGGTTGAGGTCGCCGGAGAGACGGTAGATAGCAGCTTGCTCCTCGGTTGTGCGTTCCTCGACGACGGTGTCGGGGGCGCGCTCCGGTGCCTTGTGGATCTTCGTTGCGGCGCCGCGGTCAGCACCCTTCTTCTGGCCGCCGAAGTTGCCAGAGCCGCGGATGAAGACTGTGCTTTCGTTGTAGAAGATCTCCTCGCCTGTCTTCGCGTCCTTGGTTACGCTTCCGTATACGACGAGCCCTGCGGCGCCCTTGTCTACGACCTCGACTAGCTTGGGTACGGCGACGAGCTTGGCTTCGGTGGGGATGGGGAACTTTCGGATTTCGAGGAATTGCTCGCCGTGGAGGAGCATGCGCGGGTCGAAGTTGGGGACGATTTCGTCGAAGGAGAAGGGGGGTTCGGCGTTGAAGGGGGGGACGACACCGAAGGTGGGGATGACTTGGAAGTTCTCGTCGCCTTCGTAGACGAAGGGCAGGTCGGTGCGCTTGGCGCCGATTCCCAGGTCTGGAGATGGTGTTAGTTGTAGTTTATCTTGCGGAATGAAGCTGACTTACTGTAAAGTATGACATCCCTCTCGGTGTACTCGAAGGGTGTGCCTTCAGCCTTAGCGGCCAGGGCCTTCTTCTGAGCCTCGAGGACCTCCTCGTTGCTCTTCGTGGGCTTCTTCTCCTTCTTGCTCTTCTTGCTCGTGTTCTCCATGTTGGCCATGATAGACTTGAGACCGCTGGCGTTGTCGAAGGGGTGGTCGGCGCGGCCGTCGTCGAAGTTGGTAATGCGTTCCCATTGGGAGAGAACAGCCTCGGGAGTAAGCTTGACGTCCACGGGGAAGCCGTGTCCGCCAGAGCGTTGCCACCTGGTTGCCGCAAACCAACCAGAGCCCATCTCGTATAGGCCACCTGTTGGCTCGGGAGCCTTGTCGGAAACGAGGAGAATGACGAGAGGAGCGTTGTAATCGGGCTTGAGGGCCTGTACAACCTCTTCAGGGAAGATGCTGCGGGTCATCTGAGTGCCGGCGTTGGGAGCAACGGTGTTGACGAAGATGTTGTTCTTCTTGCCCTCAAGAGCGAGGGACTTGGAGAAACCGAGGATACCGCACTTGGCTGAGGCGTAGTTCGCCTGGCCAAAGTTGCCGTAGATACCGCTGGTAGAGGTGGTGTTGAGAATACGGCCGTACTTCTGCTTAAGCATGTAAGGCCAGGCGGCCTTGGTGCAGGAGTAGGTACCGAACAGGTGAACCTTGTGGATGATGTCCCACTGCTCGTCGGTCATGTTGGCAAACGCCTTGTCGCGCAAGATACCAGCGTTGTTGATCAGGATGTCGATGCGGCCATACGTTTCAATGGCGGTCTTGACGACAGACTCGCCATCCTGAACATCGCCCTTGTTACCGACAGCCTCTCCACCGAGCTTCTGAATCTCCTGGACAGTGTTGTCGGGGTTTACCAAGTCGTTCACGACGACCTTGGCACCACGCTTCGCCAACTGCAAACAGTAGATGCGACCTAGACCCGCACCTCCACCAGTGACAAGAGCGACCTTGCCCTTGAAGTCAAGGGGCTCGCCCTTGGGGTTGGGTGGCAGCTGGTTGGCATGCTCGAGGAGCTCAAGCGCGTTCGCCGGGCCTTGTGGGTGTTCGGCCTTGGAGAAGTCGACAATGTCCTTCCACTTGGCTGGAACAGCTTCGGGTGTGAGGGTCTCGTCGGCCTTGAACAGAGCACCAGATGCTCGCTCCCATCGTAGCTTGGCGACGTGACCCGCGCCCGCCTCGAAGATAGCGCCAGTCTCGGTGGACGACTTGTGTGTAAGGACAGCGACGAGCGGGACAATCCACTCAGGCTTCATTTTCTCCAAAACATCCGGAGGCATGACGGTTTCGGTCATTCGGCTGGCGGCGATCGGGGCGACGACGTTGCAGAGGATGTTGTACTTCAAGCCCTCCTTTGCGAGTGTCTCGGTGAAACCGACAAGAGCGAGCTTGGCAGCTGTGGAAGTTAGCAGACATTCATCTCTTCGCAAACCGCATGTGCATACCAGAGTAGTTTGTCTGTCCGAAAGATCCGAACAGACCGGCAGCAGACGCAGTGCTGATCACCCTTCCGTACTTCTGTTTCCTGAAGTATGGCCACGCGGCATGCGCGCACTTGTATGCTCCAAGGACGTGGACCCGGTAGATCAGATCCCAGTCTGCCTGCTTCATGTTTTTGAAGCTGACATCGCGCAAGATACCCGCATTGTTGATGAGGATGTCAATGCGACCGAATGTGTCGATAGCAGTCTTGATGATGGACTCTCCGTTCTCGACCGAATCGTAGTTGGCGACCGCCTTTCCGCCAGCGGAGCGGATGGTGTCAACGACCTTGTCTGCGGCCTGTCGGGTGAATTAGCTATGAAGGAGGATCTTTTGCTGGGATGACATACCGCTGAGCCCGCGCCCTCGCCCTTGAAGCTGCCACCCAAGTCGTTCACAACGACGTTCGCGCCGCGACTGCCGTAGAAGACAGCGTACTCGCGACCGAGACCACCACCCGCGCCCGTGACGACAACGGTCTGGCCGTCATATCGCAGCTCCTGCGCAGCCATGATGTGTTTTCTGTGCTGTTCGAAGAGGCTACCCCTTCGTTGTTTCGCGGAAAGAAGTTGCGCTTGAGGAATCTCCTATGCAAGCAAGCAACAAAGGTATTTGTAAAGTCAAATGGGTATCAGCAAAGATCCCACGGTAGAAAGGTGCAAGATTTGGAAAGTGTGAGGATGAGAGGATAGGTGGCTGGATGCGTGGAGGATGGCTCAAAAGTAAGGTCGTTCGCGATCTGACCCGGTCGTGTCTCATGAGAGCAGCCGAGCTGTTGATGATGACGAGTTACCTCGGTCCCGACGGCAGTTGGTCATGTGTGGGGATTGCGCACCGTGC